CTCTTATATACTCGAATATACTCTAATGCACTCTAATATACCCTTATATACTCTAATATACTCTAATATGCTCTAATATACTCTTATATGCTCTAATATACTCTTATATAGTGGAATGTACTCTAATATGCTCTAATATGAAATGTTCTGATGTCATAGAGAAAAAGAAAGGGGACCAAAAACAGGGACGTTAAATGACAGATTCACCCTTTTTACCATGATCCTGACTTTAGAAAGTGCTTTTTTTACCCAAGCTGCATGTTTCATATTTTTAAGAAATGCAAGGACATCATCTGTTATTGCCTGCTAACGTTAAGGTAAAGTCAAGATTAGGTTAAGGTCACTCTTAGAAAATTCTTATTACATATAGGTTCCTGACTTCTCTCTTGTTTTTTGTCAAATTTGTCAAATTCCATCAGCAGCACAGTTGATTTAATTTTAGGAAGGTCTGATTAACTGAAGCAGGTATTGGATGGTAACTGTAAATACTGGGCTTCTACAAAGGAAGGATGTTTTGGAAATGATTAAGCCAACACACTCTAATATGCTCTGATATACTCTAATATGCTCTAATATACTCTAATATACTCTAATATAATCTAATATGCTCTAATGTACTCTAATATACTCTAATATAATCTAATATGCTCTAATGTACTCTAATATACTCTAATATACTCTAATATAATCTAATATGCTCTAATGTACTCTAATATACTCTAATATACTCTAATATAATCTAATATGCTCTAATATACTCTAATATAATCTAATATGCTCTAATGTACTCTAATATACTCTAATATACTCTAATATAATCTAATATGCTCTAATGTACTCTAATATACTCTAATATACCCTAATATACTTTAATGTACTCTAATGTACTCTAATATACTTTAATATACTCAAATATACTCTAATGTACTCTAATACACTCTAATATACTCTAATGTACTCTAATATACTCTAATATATTCTTATATAGTCTAATATAATCTAATGCATTCTAGTATGCTCTAATATACTCTTATATACTCTAATATACTCTAATATGCTCTAATGTACTCTAATATACTCTTATATACTCTAATATGCTCTAATATATTCTTATGTATGCTAATATAATCTAATGTATTCTAGTATGCTCTAATATGCTTTAATGTACTCTAATATACTCTAATATACTTTAATATACTCTAATGTACTCTAATATAGTCTAATACACTCTAATGTACTCTAATATACTCTTATATACTCTAATATGCTCTAATATATTCTTATGTATGCTAATATAATCTAATGTCTTCTAGTTTGCTCTAATATGCTTTAATGTACTCTAATATACTCTCAGATTCTCTTATTTACTCTAATATACTCTAATACAGTCTAATACACTCTAATGTACTCTAATATACTCTAATATATTCTTATATAGTCTAATACACTCTAATGTATTCTAGTATACTCTAATATTATCTTATATACTCTAATATACTCTGATATGCTCTAATATAGTCTAATACTCTAATAAACTCTGCATTACTCTAATATTAGTGCTTTTCTGTAAAAATACATGCTTACTTCCCAGGTAAATGTTTATTTTCTCAGATGCCTCAGACTTGCACAGTCCTGCATATATAAAATTTAGATCATACACAAAATTTATATTGTGGCGTAACTAAAGTCAGGGATCATTTTGTTTAAAGAACCATGTATATCTTTAAAGAGCCATACAAATACCGCTTTCCATCATAGAAAATAAATGAACCATGCAAAGATACATACATACACAATTACTGTTCCTTCTTTACTCCTAGTGAGACTCTGGCAGCTGCATTCTGAATTGGCTGAAGATGTTTGGTTGTCTGATATTGTATGTTATTGTACAATCCCATTTCCAAAAAAGTTGGGATGCTGCGCAAAACATAAATAAAAACAAAATTCAATGATGTGCAAATCATTTAAACCTATATTTCATTGAAAGCAGTACAAAGGCAACATATCAAACGTTGGAACTGAGAAATGGTATTGTTTTTTGAAAAACACATAATAAATATATATAACACATGCCCTAACCCTAACCCTAGACTATTTTTGACTATGTTCAATGAAATATAGGGTTTAAATGATTTGCACATCATTGCATTTTATTTTTATTTACGTTTGGCACAGCGTCCCAACTTTTCTGGAAATGGGGTTGTAATTGTATGTTTAATATAGAGCACATTGTCATGGTCATGTCAAAACCTAGTAAGAAAACAAATGTTTGTGTTTATAATTAATAGTGAATGGACCAATCAGATGGTCCAAAATGATGTGGAATCAAATCTAGTACATTAGATTTAGTATGAAAAGTTTAAGAGATGAACCATTTCAGAGATGTGAGATTTTTATTTCCGGGTGTGACCGTATGTATGACTGCATGTTCTGACATTGTGTATAAAGATGTTAGTATGAAGTGTGTGTGTTAGTGCATTGGGGGGGGGCTGTAAGATGACACATCAGTAACTCTCTGAATTACATACACACAAATGACACCTTTACTCATATACTGAACAGACAGCCTGTTATTGGCAGACACACACACACACACACGCAGGCATGCACGCTCATTTCTTCTGGTCTTATAATGGACATGAGTCAGTGGTGTGCACCAGCTAACACAAATGTACTCAGATCCTGACCTTTAGTAGGTGTGTTCTAAATGCGAGTGAGCATCAGTGTGCGGGCGGTGTGTGTGTGTGTGTGTGTGTGTGTGTGTGTGTGTGTGTGTGTGTGTGTGTGTGTGTGTGTCTGCACCGCTGCAGCTTTTTGCCCTTCCCCACACTCAAGCCTCTCTGAAGGATAATCAGACGTTACAGGCCGGATCCTCAATCCACTACCAGATGTGACTCTGGGACGTTATATATGACATCATTATGAGTGTAAATGTGTGCAGGGGCACAAACAGGTGGTATGCAGTGCATACGACACACAGGGGGCACCAGACATGGCCTAAAAGAGAAATCACTATTACCATAAAGCACTATTTTGACTATAAATGAGGGACGTTACAAGATAAAAGAGACCATTGTGTTATACTATCAATTAGACTGTACTAAAAAAGTTAAAGTATTGCGACCTGCTATACACTCTCAGAAATAAAGGTACTAAACTGTCACTGGGTCAGTGCCCCTCTTGTCACTAGGGTGGTCCCCTCAAGGCTCCATCTCAGTACCTTTAGTCAGGGAACATAACTGAACCATAATCCACTGAAATGATATGTTCTAAGCTGTACTGACTCCACACACCCCGTCTCGTCTCCAGGACTTTTATTTTACTGTTCTGTTTTAAAACATTCGGTTATGAAAAGGTACAAATACGAACTTTTCACCTGGAAAAACTTATTTAAGGTTCACAATCAGACCTTAAAACCACTGTTGGAGCTTTGAGGGAACATTTACACTGTTTGTACCTTGATGAATGAAAAATGTTCCTGCATAGAACCTTTATTTCTAACAGTGTACTGGCGGTGCTGCTGCATAAAAACCTCCCGTTAAAATGATAGAAATTTTTTAGATGATGCCAAAACGCAACAGTGGCCTTAACTTAAATTCTTTCAGCAAATTAATACCTATTAAAATGGCTCCAGTGGACAGTGATCACTTGACATGGTGATATCAAAGATATTCAGCTTCTCTTGATGAAATCCTTGATGGTCTACTGCGAAATCAAGGCTTATGAAAATAGTGTATTGTGTGTGATTGAGCTTTTTTAGAACATATAATGGCAGATGAGATGTGGAAAGACTGTTTGAGGGCTTTAGTTTTATATTTGTTTATGATTCCTAACTGATACGGGTGTTTTTTTTTTTGCATTAAAAAATTTTGAAATGAAATTACCTTAAAATACCTTAAAAAGTACCTTAACCCTTGAGTGGTTTTAATGTGTTTGTTACTCAGTGGTCTGGTGGACCCACCACAGTATTGTTTTTTTTAAATCAATACAGCCATAACAATTTATGTAAAAATACCAGATGTTTAAAATATCACAAGTGTCCAGCGTAGGGTTCTCCTTTAGCAGCTGTAGCCAGTCAGCAGCCTGTCCATGTTGTCCACCCTCACACACACACACACACACACACACACACACACACACACACACACACACATACAAACACATACACACACAGACACACACACACTAACAGCAGGCCATGTAGGAGGAGAACAGAGTGAAGGACACAGCACCTCCACACTTTCACCCCCCGCAGGTTCACCCAACACCACATGTGTCATATAAATGTGTGGGGGGTGAACAGAGTGAAGACACTGAAAATGGGTTATTTTATATGTTCTTCACAGAAAATGAGCAAAGACCAAGAATCTGAGGTTGAAATAATAATAAATCACATCATTTTTTCTTTTGATAAACACTAAAAATGGGTCCCACAGACCTGAACACCACACAAGGGTTAAAATATCCTTCACTTATAATATTTAAATATATAAAGTAGACTGAAAACTTCATTTACAGTGCAGAGCAGTATCTGTATAGTAAGTCAAGGTGCATTGCTTCTTGCACAAATCCGAAGAAACTGCTGTTGCATCCTCAGTATTTGTGTTATGCTTTTTAAAATTCCATTTTAGTGTATCTGACAACTTTTCCAAAAGACTGTTTCAGACATCAGGCAGTGAATTCGTAACCATTTCTTGTAAAAGCTTTCTGTGAGGGAGCTTTTAGAGGTGGACGTCTGGTTCCTATCACCACCACTGTGAGCAACTCTGACTCAGCAAGTTTCTCCAGAGCAGAGCGTTTCATACCAAACCACTCTGAATGACTCACATCTTAACGATTTACTTACGCAGAAATAAAAAAAACTCAAACTCACTCAAAATTCAAATTACAAAATTATTTGCAATTTCTAAGAAAATGCTTAGTCGGGTGTTTTCAGCGTGATCTTGATCTGATTTCACATGATAAATGTAGTTTTTCTTCTCTTCCTTCATTATTTCTAGATAATTGGGACAATCCCACTGATGCCAAACTCTGCAGGACCCTCCAACCAATCGGGCGGCGGGACACCTTCACTACAAGTCCAGCCAATCACGCCGCAGCTGCTGACCAATGCGCAAGGTCAGATCATCGCCACGGTGATTGGGAACCAGATTCTGCCCGTCATCAACACCCAGGGAATCACGCTGTCACCAATCAAACCCGGACAGCAGGTGAGGCCTGATACAAGCACAGAACTACACACTTAAAAAGATGGTTCTTCAAGGGTTCTTTAGTAAAGACAGTGGTTCTGTTTAGAACCAAGAACACTCAAAGAACAATTTGGCTGCTTAAATGGTTCTCTGCATGGTGAAATCGTTCTTCAGATTGATGGAGAATGTGTTGTATATGGTTCCATATAGCACAAAAAAAGGGTTATGCTACTGTTACAAACTTGACACTGTGACAATAGCAGAACCCTTTTAGTTGCTACATAGAACCATTTTCAGAAAGGTTCTACATACACTCTAAAAAGATGGTTCTTTAAGTGTTCTTAAGTAAAGAAAATGGTCCTATATAGAACCATGAACACTCAAAGCACCCTTTGCATGATTAAAGGGTTCTTTGCATCACAAAAGGGGTTCCTCAGACTGTTGAAGAATGTGTTTTATATGGTTCTATGTAGAACCTTATTGAAAATGGTTCTATTTAGCACCAAAAAAGGTTTTGATGTCAAGCTTGTTACAATAGAAGAACACTTTTTGGTGCTATATAGAACCATGCAGAGCACATTCTCCAACAATCTGAAGAACACCTTCACGATGCAAAGAACTATTTAATCATGCAAAGCATCATGGTTCTATATAGAACCCTTTTCTTTCCTGAAGAACCCTTGAAGAACCATCTTTTTAGACTGTGCAGAAATGGGTGTGGATTTTCAAATATGCCCTATTTACCTCTAAATATACCTTCATATATCTTTTTTTGAATTATATCATCTTAGCATTTGTTTACTTAATCATATTTTTATTTGAGGAATGAAATATTAAAACGTGTATAATCGTACGTTTTTGACTAAGCGTACAGTGTAAAATTGCCGAGAATGAACACAAGCAGCTGACTTAGCATCTCAAATAGTGTCATCTAAACAAAAATGTTGTCAGAGTTTATGAGAAGGTCTGGCTGCAGTCATGCACTCCCAGCCTGACGTGCACCGCCAGCCTCTCGATGACGTCAGTGCTGCTCTGCCACGACAGATTTTTTGTCGGTTTCATGAGGAAAAACAGCGAAACACAAACTGCTGGGCAACAAGAGCTACACTGAATGTATATGAACATTTTTATACTGATAATAAGGTAATTAAATATGGAAAAATTCGAAATAAAACCTACCACGACGATGAGACATGAACGTTGGGTTTATTCGCAGAAAAAACAAAAAGGCTGCTGAAACTCATGAAAGCCAGGCTGAAGACGATCAGAACCGCTTATCAAAAACTGTAATATTGATTAAAATAGAAATTATTAAGGATTCTAGGAGGTTGTGACAGCGTACAGTCAACTTAGTACCGATTACTACAGCCTCCTAGAAAGTTGTCAGACAACGTTCATAACTTTTTGAGGAATTACATTTCAACATTGTGACAACGTAGAAAAGCACCAGGCAGACGACGCTGTGGGCCCTGAAACAGTACATTGTCACAGCATAACTGTGTTTGCAGGGCTGTTAGGAATAAAACCTGATGGTTTTGCTGAATTGGCTTGATGGTTGCCGTTGGAGAGCATTAGGAAATGATCAAATGTATGTGGAATCAGTCCCAAAACACCTGATTAACCAATCAGAATCCTTTACACTGTGATATCAACCCATCAGGAAAACACAGAACACTATCAGCGACTACTGAAAACCACCAGGAACCAACAGACACTTTTAATGGGTTCTCTGATTTTTTTCAACAGGGAGGTACATTAAATGTAACTCTCTAGCTGTGTTATGGATGAGAAATGGATTGGAGTGATGATGTCGCTAAGCAGCAGCAGCCAAAACTTAATGTGCCGTTGGGCTGCTTCTGCCATTGTGGCAGAGAGTACATGTGCACGTGACGTCACTGGGGCTGAGAGTGCATCTGTCTGAGAGTGCATGTCTGCAGCCAGACTCTATTGGAGTTTATGTTATGAGAGTTATCGTTAAACATAACCTACTTCTGCTGTTTGAAAAGGCAGAATAAAATAGTTAAAGTGGGCATTTCTGAAGACAGATTACTAAACACAGCTGCAGCACATTACTACACTCTTCCAGGTGCATATTATTAATGTTATTTTGACTTGATGGTGATGATGAATATCAACAACCTGTCAAAATTCAGATAAAAGTTTGTACCCTCATCGGAGGGGGGACTTTTCAGCTGAATAAATATATTATGGCATAATGAGAAATGACATAAATTACAATGGAGATGCATTTGTTGAATAAATAGTATAACTATGGATAGAATAAAGTCATATGACTGATCATGCGCTCCTGTTTTTGTTTTTTTTTGTTTGTTTTTTTTTTCATTTTGAGATCGAATTTTAAAAAAGGCTTGAAACAACAAATATGGAATAAAATGACCAAAATTCAGATAAACATTTGTACCCTTGCCTGAGGGGGGATCTTTTTTGCTGAATACATTTTTTATTGAGTAACAAGAAATGAGATCAGTTGCAATGGAAATACATTTGCCAAGTAATTAAATATGAATAGAGTAGGGTCATATGATTGATCACAAATAGGATCAATGAAAAAAAAAAACAAAAACAAAAATTTGAGGTTCTATCTATATATATATATAGATAGAACCTCAAATTTTTGTTTTTGTTTTTTTTTTTCATTGATCCTATTTGTGATCAATCATATGACCCTACTCTATTCATATTTAATTACTTGCCAGGCCGTAGCTACAAAACATGACAAGAGAAAGCAGGTTCCAGTTGAATAATAATATATTAATGTACCTTTATTTTATCCTAGGAAACAAACATAGCAGTGATTCGACAGTAAACAGACATAAGAGGTCTGCTGCTGATTAATGGACATGTCCTGAGGTGTTATGTGTGCCAGTGCGCTCTGTCTCTGTGCTCTTCTGCCATAGTATAAACAATCAGCAACACTAAGCTGCCCAGCAATGAGGGGGTCCCATATTTCTACGAAATTATTTTTCAAATGTGACCTAGAGAGTTTTATTCTCCTGTAAGAGCTGGACTGAAACCTGCTTCCTGATGCATACATTACTGATGAATATGAACTACATTCTGTTTCACTCTGCAGTGCAACTTTGCAGCAGCGTCCAAGAGGACTGACATACGTGTTATTATAACATCCGTAACATCACAAACACATTATATTATAACATAAAAAATGAGATGTGCCTTCTGAAGCATTTTGTGTTTGATATGAAGCCTGTTTTCTAGACAGAACAGGCTGAATTACAGTTATGAGAAATGAATAAAGGACCTTATTAGAACTATTACTGTCTATATCTACAGAATAACTTTAAAATATAATGAGATCGTTCACACATGCTAGTCAATCCATCTGCATTTATAACCCAAACTAGTCAGAGTCGTGTTCCACGCGCACAGTCTCTGCCTCGCTCTCCTGTTCCCACACTCTGCTCGACATGAAAAGGTTTATTTTATCTCCTTCGCTTTCTTACTGACTTAAGAAGCAGCGAAGCAGCATAGCACACAAAAGTAAAATCTCATTGTCTCAGTGTTTCCCTTCAGAGGAACACTCCTGACACGGCGAGTTAGGATTACAGAGAGAGAGAGAGAGACAGAGAGAGCATTTCTGTGTTGACAGAAACCAAAGGTTCAGTCTTTCTCAGCTGATAATAAGCTGCAGGAAGTTTGTGTGGGTTTGTATGTGTGTGTGTGTGTGTGTGTGTCAGTGAGTGGGGGCTGCCTGTTGGTCTATGTGTGTCTGTGTTGTATAGTAAGGTGTGTGTGAGAGAGAACAGGCCTATGTGAGGAGAGTGTGTGGTAAAGCTGTACAATATATTCAAGTCAAAGTTTATTTATACAGCACTTTTTATAGCAGGTGTTGCCACAAAACAGCTTCACAGAAAATCCGGGTCAAAACCCCAAAGGGTGACGGTAGCAGGAAAAACTCCCTAAGAGCAAGAGAACGGAACCTTGAGAAGAACCAAGAACCAAAAGGGGAACCCAACCTCCTCTGGTCCACAGTGGATAGCAAACAATAACCCACACTGCAAAAAATGGTATCTTGTCAAGTGAAATTATCTTAAATATAGTCAAGAAATCTAATATTTCTCCTGTTGAGATTGTCGTAAACTTAATGTAAGATTGTTTAACTTATTTCTAGACATTTTTTATGTGTTTTAACTGATTTATTAAGTAAAATTATCTCACTATACTGGCAGATAATTGTGCTTGTTTTAAGAAATGAGCTTGAAACCGGCAAAAATGATCTGCCAGTACAGTGAGATAATTTTACTGGAAAAAAATCTGGAAATAAGCTAGATAATCTTATAATGAGTGCACAACCATCTCAAGATGGGAAACGCTTGATATATCACCTAGATTTAAGATCAGTTCACTTGACCATTTTTTGCAGTGCATGAGCAAAATGGACAGAGAATAAGATTTTACAATTAATATATGATATTGAGTATACACTCCTGGGAAGAACAATGGACCAAGCCCAAAATGGCAAAACATGAAGCTTTTAATGGTCTTAACAACAAATCATTAAACAAATAGATAAATTAAGTTAATATAGGAGAGTTTTTCCCTTTGATTTCTTTAAATGTGGAAGTTTTGTGTGTAAATTTGCAGACAGTCTTTTACAGAAAGAAGAGTCAGTATTGATCCACTCAGCATTGACGGCTTCAAACAGCTGAAAACATTAGCCAGCCTAGTTTGTGTTTAATGTGAGACCAAATATTCTCTACGCTCTTAAAAAAGATTGTTCTTTAAGGGTTCTTTAGTGAAAAAAATGGTCATTAATAGAACCGTGAACACTCAAAGAACCATTTCAATGATTAAAGGGTTCTTTGCTTCAGATTGATGGAGAATGTGTTGTATATGCTTATGTATAGAACCTTTTTGAAAAGGGTTTTATATAGCACCATAAAGGGCTCTTCTATGGATAACTGTATAGGAGACGGAGAAGATCAAAATATTCCTAACTTTTAATGCAAGTAAAGGTAAAAATGTTTGATCCAAATAATTTG